AACCATACCAGACCACATTCCTTCAACATGGGGGGATGCTTCGGGGCAGGGGGACTCCCCCCAAAGCACCTTGTCCCTGTGTTGATGAGAACAAGGGCCTCTTTCCCACAACCCTGGCCGGTGGTTGTGGGGGTCTGCGGACGGGAGCTTATCAGAATCTGGAAGATCCCGGCCCATGGTGAAAAAAAAGTGTACTGTAAAAAAAAGACAGGAGACAGTCTTTGACAAGTCCTTTATTAAAAAAAAAATGTCCCCCCGAAGTAGATCCAACGTCAGTCTCGATGCCCGCCGCCACGGCCAACCCGAAAAAAGAAAAGAAAAATATGTTCTGCCCTCAACGCTGGCTCCCGGCCATCTAAGAACTGTCATTGCGACACAGCTGTCAAATAGGGTGATGGCATCACAAGGGGGCGGGATCACACCCGCACCCTTGTGACATCATCATGCCTTGTGATTGGCCAGAGCATTGTACCTCCCTTCCTGACCAGGACATTTTTTATGATTCGGCGCTGCTTTATTTTAACTGACAATTACGTGGTCATGCAATGCTGCACCCAAGCAAAATTTACATCCTTTTTTTCCCCACAAATAGAGCTTTATTTTTGGTGGTATTTGATCACCTCTGCGTTTTTTTTTTAGTTTTTGTGCTGCTATAAACAAAAAAATAACCATTTTGAAAAAATATACATTTTTGACGTTTTGCTATTAAACATGTCCAGTAAAAAAAAAAATTTAAAAATCAAATATCAATTTAAACTTAGGCCAAAATGTATTTTGCTACATGTCTTTGCTAAAAAAAAAACTCTATACGTGTAAATTAATCAATTTACGTGAAAGTTATAGCATCTACAAATGGCGGTATATATACTGGAATTTTTTTTTTCTAAACTAGTAATGGCGGCGATCAGCGACTTATAGCAGGACTGCAGCGGGCATTCTGACACTGGGGGGGGGGAACTAACTGCCACTGACATCCCTAGTGACACTAATACAGTGATCAGTGCTAATAAAAAGCACTGACACTGTACTATTGACACTGGGCAGGAAGGAGTTAACATCTGGGGCGATCAAAGGGTTAACTGTGTGCTGTGTGTTTTACCATGTAAGCATGCTGCTTTGTATTGCTCTGCTTTGTATTGCCCTGCAGAGCAAAACAAAGCAGCATGCTGGTGCTGACAGGGGAGAGATCTGTATTGTTTACATACAGACCTCTCCCCTGTCAGTGTTCCTCTGCGATCGCCGGGTGACAGCGTGGGAATCTCCAGCTGGGACGCGGTGGTCGACAGCTGTAGCCACCAATGGCAGTGAGGGTAGGGTGGTGTGTGTGCATGCTCCCTACCTGGAAAAACAAAATCATGTGTATATATACGTGATTTTGCGCAGTCCTGCCGCCCCATATCAGTATTTCTGCTATGGGGTGGTTGGGAAGCAGTTAATGCGTCAAGGTAAGAAAAACCTTCTGTCTCTAGAACCACTTTAATAGATAAAATGATCAAAATGGGTAATTCAGCCCACAAACTACTATTTGCGGCTGTGGTATGCATTTACAGTAAGGTAGACTAACCCTTTAGATCCCACTTTAGATCCCACTTACACCTGTGTGTTTTAGGTGCAGTGCTTTGAAAAAAAAAACCCACTTAGTGCATCAAAGATGCATCTTCATCAAAGCACAGATTGTATAGTCAGTGGGAACACACCTAAGGCTTCATTCGCACAGGCATATGTGTGTTTTCTGCATGAAATGTAGGTTCTTGCTGGCAGAGCTACCAGAACTTCCTTTGTAAAATATGCTCTGCAAGGTGCATATACACATTTACATACTGTATGTCAAATCTGTAGATACTGTGGGAACTCGCTTCAAAGTGGTAGAGCTTTTGTAACCCACACAGCAACTCGCTTCTTTATTTTTCAGGGCCGTTTCAGCCCACTTTTATTTAAATGACAGTTCAATAACATAGGAGGTTTCCCACACAGGGGTATCCAACATCAATATAGACAAAAAGATTCAGCCTCCTGGCTCTCTCAGATATAAACAATTTTCCTCTGGCCTTTCTCTTCAGGCTTACGTCTGTCTCCTGCAGACTTTTCCAAAATATTGGCTCTTGCACACAGCTTGCCACTAGCACACAGCTACTCCCGAGCAGCCCCTTGCTGCTTTTGGCTTCCACCTCTCCTAGGTGAAGCCCACCTGACTTCAAGGCAGTGACCACCTGCCTGCCGGGTTGCAGCCCTCCTGTCTGCTGAGGTGGAGCCCAGAACCCTGGTCCTGACTCTCTGAAAAGGCCCGCACACACCTGTGCAATCAGTATCCTGGCCATTTCCAAAACCTGGCCCCAGGATTGGAGATTTCATCCCTCCCAGATCTTTGAAATCTCCAGGCTCCAGATCCCAAAATGGACCTTACAAACAAAGGAGGAAAGTGAAAAGCCACTTCCCCCCGTATCAAACACTTACCCTGGAGCCCCTCAACCTGCCTTATTGAGAATCCTAGGTGACAGATCGCCACACTGTCACAATACATATGTCTCAATACGTAAGTGCGTCCTACTATTTTTGTATGCCGTACAAAATATTGTTTGTAGAAACAGCTGTGTATGGCCATATTGATTCCTATAGTGCTGCATTTAGATGCATATGAGACTGCATACTGTGCACAGCTAAAGAATACTTTTTAAATGCCAGTGAATGAACCCTAAAACACAACGCACAGATTTGATCTGAACGTAGCCATGTTTTATACCACTCTCTGCTTTTGCTTCAAAGATTCAGCTAGTTAATTAAAAGTAAATACTATTTAAAAAAAACAACTTCATCCTGACTGGGTGTTTGAAGTAAACACATAGCTTCCAGGATGATGAGAATGAAGAGTAATGTGTAAAAGCCGTTTAATAAGAGTTGTGTCCTCAATTAATTAGGCAAAATGCAGCAACCTGTGACAAAGAATCAGACATCATCTTTCTGTTTTAGGCTAGGTTCACATATGTGCGGGTGGTGCTGCCACATATGTGCGATGGATCCACACAAAAATCCGTGCAGCATCACCACCCACACAGAAGAATGCATACCCGCAGGCGGGTGCCATTAATTCTAATAGCACGCTGTCTGCACTGGAAATCGCAACCGCACTGGGAACCGAGGTTCCTGTGTGGGCTGCGGTTTCCAAAGAAAGTGCACGGACCTCTTCCCTGCGTGTCTTGGGGCACGGAAGTCCATTCATTCTCATGCCCACGCAAAACGAGGCTCGCAGGAATGCACATATGTGAAACAGGGCTTAATGAGAGCAAAGATGGAAACTGATTGTTGCAATAGGTTGTTGTATTTCCAGAGGAAAAACTAGAAATCACAAGGCTCCGTAGCAAACTTTTCAATGGACTCCCTAACAATGTGTGTTAATGGTGCAGAACCCAATGGTTATAGTTCATAATCTTAAACCAAGAGGTAAGCCTAAAAAACAGTGGTCAGTAGATTTAAAAAATTCTTCAGTGTCAGTAGGAGGAACAAATGCCCTGTGTCAGTGACCAGTAGTAGTGGTGACCTAAGGTTTAGCCCAAACCTCAAACAAATTGATGGCAGGCCCATCTAGGGAATTCCCCACCGCAGAGCTGCACGTAACCAAGGGGCAAGGTTGATGCTGTCATCGTTGACCTAATATGACAATATGGCCATATGTGGACAGTGTCATTGACCGAATACAGTCATGTGGTCATATTAGGTTAATAATGTTACCAGAATCCTTGCCCCTTTGCAGTTGCAGGGCAAGTGAATTTCTTTGCCACAGCTGATTGGTCTGGCAGCCTATGGGGCACTTTGAGGGGCTATCAGAAAGCTAAGGTGCACTATGGATATCTGTGGATTTTTGTGGGTGGAGTTGAGTCCTCATGAAGGCTTGGGGACACTATGGGGGGCAGAGGATTCTGCAGAAGGCTGTGGAAGCTTTATGGATGGATGGATAGGAGCACATGGGCAGGCTTGGGGCACTATGGAGGGCTAGGGGTTCAGCAATAGATTTGAAGGGGCTCTGTGGAGAAGAGGCTGCTGTTGCTGCAAGGAGGCATTGTGAGAAAAAGGGGGGGCTAGGAAGCACAGTATAGGGCTGGGAGCATTATACTGTAGGTGGTAGCAGAGGAAGCAGAGCAGAGGGAATGGAACCTGAAGGAGACAGTGCAAACAGATTTTGCCCACCTCAAACGTGCCAGTGCACCACAGGAAACAAAAATTGAAACTTCCCCTTCATCCTCTCTCTCCATTCATGTGACAGGCCAAATAACCTGGAGAGGTAGAGCTGGAATTCACTCCCTAATGCAGTGGTCTCCAATCTGAGGCCCGGGGACCAGATGTGGCCCTTTGCTTGCCTTTATCCGGTCTTTGGGATACCATTCCTCTCACTAATACAAGGCGCTATTCCTCCCACTGACACCAACAATGGGGCATAATTCCTGTCATTGATACCAACAATAGGGCACAATTCCTACCCCTGACCCCAACAATGAGGCACTCTTCTTCCCCCTGATACCAACAATGGGGCAATATTCCTCTCACGAATTATGGGGTAATGTTTACTCCCAGGGCATTTTCTACTCTCACTGGCCACAATCTGGCCCACTCAGATTCTGAAGGACAGTAAACTGGCCCTTTGTTTAGAAAGTTTGGAGACCCCTGGTCTAGTGGGTGCATGTGCTGATGAAAAGTCTGTGGCTGCTTTGCATCCTGAGAGGCATTCATCAAGATTGCAACCCTGCAATGCCTGATGGAGCAGTGCCCACTTCTGGAATGGCAGAACCAAGCACCCACTGCTGCTCTGCAGAGTATCCTGGATACTAGGATTCAAAAAGAAGCTTCCTTCAGCACACAAATCCTCTTTTCAAAGGTTTCAGACTGAGCACTATAGCCACTTCATGGGATGCTATGGTGGTAGTTCTGCGAGTGTGTACGTCATCCATGATTATTACTTTGCATATCCTTATGTGTGCACTTCTAACCTATGTCTCTTTTTTGTTTAGAAAGCAGATGTCAGACTTATTGTTATTGGTCAATCCTCATATCTTCATATACAGGTAACATATTTCATAGCATATTTATATATGATTTTGAGTATATTGATATGAATAGATAGATCGATCCTGCATTAGATGTATACTTACCTGAATTGGATGACCATGTCCTACAGAAATCTTTAGAGCCCCTGGATTAAATCTTCCTTTCCTGAACTATGCCTTCATGGTCTATCAGATTGAGTTGTATGGGTGGGATCCTCTTCCGAGATGTTACCAGCCCATTTTGCCTCACACACACACACACACACACTCAGGCCTGTTGGGCCCTTCCCCAACCCCAGGCTCCATAGTGGCCACATAAGCCTATTAGGAAAGGTGATCAGGTCAGAGGTATTTTGTGCTAACCACTGGATAGGTGCAGCAATATTCAATATTTCATAAAAATTAAATATCATGTGTTAGGTATAAGAGCTAAAAAAATTTAACTAATGAAGTGGTCTTCTTGGTGCCTATGTGTGCACTTTTCCAGCTAGACGTTAGCTGGGATGTTTGATTATAGCAAATAGGCCTTGTTTTTAACAGAGAGGACCCTTTGCTGCCATTTTGATATCTTAATTATTTCTGATATGCTGTAGGAGACTTTTCACAGAATGTTTTCAATGACACTCTGGTAAGTGCTTCATTGTAGATCTATTACAGAGTATAATAGTGTTGGTGGCATTGGTACCTCAGTCAGCCTTGTAAATTTCAATACAGATTATGCATATGATTCCCTTGGCTTTCAGAACAGTATTGAGAGAGATATACTTATATTATTGCCATACTGGTCTTTGGTATTTTCTTTTAATATGGAGGTACGGCCAGGTAATACATTTTATAAATTGTCTTCCCCAACCTATTAGACACACAACAAACCTAAACCTGGTAGAGGCTTTTTTATTAGGTTTGCACTGCCCTGATCATGCTCTTTCACATACATATTGGACTATACTAAAATTAGAGACTCCTACTTGTTCTGGTTATTTGGACAAATGGGAAACTGATCTTGGTACTATTCTATCTAATGAAATCATCAAGATTTTAAGGCTATACCATACTTCTTCTGTATGTAGGAAATTTGAAGAGCTAAACTTAAAATTGACCGCATGTTGGTACCTATTCCATTGAACTTGGCATCCAGTTTTACAGTTTATTCATGATGAATACATGATGAAACATGATGTTGGAGAGGATGTGATACAGAAGGGACTATTGCATATACTATATGTGGTTTTGTCACCTTATTCAAACATGCTGGTCTAGAGTGGCAGGTGTAAGGTCTAAGATTTCAGGTTGGGCTACACCCTTAGACTTTTGAGTTTTTGATGCCAATCTTTCATATAAAGATGGAATAGTTTGATTCCTCATTAAACTCTGCAAACAGCAATGTATCTTTACATTGGAAGTCAGCTCTGTCCATTAGTTCATAGTTTAATTAGATCACGCTATGTTCAATTTGTAATCAACATCCTCTGAATCCTAATATTTGGGATCTTTGAAGGGAATTTAAGACATCTATAGTCTCTTTACAAGCTTGCAGTCCCTTGAGTTAATGATTGAATGACCCATAGACTAGATATTCTTTCTTATTATATAGTTGCGCACCTAGGGATATTACTTATATCTTGTAGAAGACTGGGCAGGGGCAGACTGACAACTCATGGGGCCCCCGGGCAATAGGGGATCATAGGGCCCCTGTGTCCTTGCCCAAACTCAAAAAAGCCTAATGAAAAATGTACCAGGGGCATCTCATGGGGCCCCCTACTGACCCCGGGCCCTCGGGCAGTGCCCGAGTTTCCAAATGGTCAGTCTGCCCCTGCTTCTGGGTATAGCAGAATCGATGCCCCCCCCTCTCCCCCAACCCCCCCCCCCCCCATTTTTTTTCATTTTTCTTTTTACCTATTTTGAACCTGATGATTATATGCAGTTTCAAGTAGCAAAACTGAATTGTTTGGATAGAGAAGTGAACCATCAATAAATATATTTTTTTGTAAATCTGGAAAATGGTTTTTTTTTTCTGATAAACAAATGAATTTAAATAACATACGAACAACAAAAAAGAGAAAACAAATCATTTAATATAGGGTGACTTGTTGTTTAACTCATACTATGCACCTGTCTTTTTCAGAATTTTTGCTCCATAACAGGATATCCTCATGAAAATATATGTTGATAATGACAAAGAAGTATATAGCAAGCTAAGAATGAAAAGGGGAGAAACATCAACTTCATCAGGTACTGGTATTTTCTGACAGTGATATTGTGATATTTTTCAGTTTAGCACTAGTTTTCTTGTCTAATATTCCACACTTTTAGGTCCTTACTAGGTGTACCCATTACTTTAAAATGTTAGTGGGGTTTCCCCTCATACTACCAGGCTGTGCCAGTTGGAAGATACTGTATAAGGTAGCAAAAACTGGTATGGACTATTATGGATCTCTCATAAACTCCTGGTTTTTGATAGATTAGAGAAATATTAGAACTGCTTTTACATTTATGTTGCCATCTGTGTCCTTATTGGAACATTTTAAAATGTTTCCACTGCCAGGTGGCACTAGTTGCTGAACAAAGTGCAAAGAAAAATTTTGCCATGCTGTCATAGGCATTACAATCATTACAGAGGTTCTAACTGGTGCTCGGTTTACTAAAAAATAGCATATTATTGTCTCCGTTCTTTTCCTCTAACTGTCTGCCCCTTGTGGAACCAGTCATTGAACATTGAGTTAGGGGAAATTTTCCTAATGAGGATTCAAATAGCAAAGTCTATCCAAATAAAAAAAAAAAAGAAAATGTTTTGAGCAAATATTTCTTCAGCTGCTTAGGCCTAAAGTAAAGCATAATTACCAGGTGAGTAACGATTATGTAAATGTGAAGGCACACGAAACAGTGGATGTGCTTGGTATGCAGCAGTGACAGTTCACATAAAGTGACAGTTTTTATCTAAGGCTTGATTCACACATATGCGGTTGATGCACACCACGTTTGTGCAGGCACAGCAGCCCATTCATTTGAATGGGCTGCTGTACCCACAGGAATCGTCACTGCACCTTTTCAAAGCAGCATGATGCTTTTGCATCATGCAATTTCATGCACCCGAAAAGGCATTTTGATGCATGGGGCGGCACCCCTGTATATCTGCAAAAGAGAAGTGTGTTTTGGCTGCAGGTGTTGGAAAATGTGTGATTTTACAACTACAGCCTAGTCTTAACCTAGCCTTAATCTGCCAGTGTGTGAATGTGATACTAAATTTCCTCTGCACGTATAATGTCCCTTAACATGATTCTGTGTTTGGATAAAGCAAATAATTAAGTGTGTGGCACTATGCAGCATTTTGAAATAGAATCTTGGACTTTAATAAAATATGCAGAGGGGAATTTACTAAGACTGAAACAAACAGAATCTGGAGTAACTGTCATTGGCAACCAATCCACTTATAGCTTTCATTTTAAATGCTTAAAGTGTTACTAAACCCGCAACCAGGGGCAGACTGACCATTTGGAAACTCGGGCACTGCCCGAGGGCCTGGGGTCAGTAGGGGGCCCCATGAGATGCCCCTGGTACCTTTTTTGTCTTAGGCTTTTTTGAGTTTGGGCAAGGACAAAGGGGCCCCATGATCCCCTATTGCCTGGGGGCCCCATGAGTTGTCAGTCCGCCCCCTGCCCGCAACAGTAAAATCAGTCTGTATATGCAGTAAAGCATGCTTGTTATACTCACTGTGGAACCTAAGCAGGAAATCCTCTGCATTGTGTAAAAATGCTGTTTGCTGCTGACTTCTCCGATCCTCTCCTTCTTCCAGTGTCCCCCTCTTATCTCCTGATAAGACATATCATGTGGAGTCACTCTGCTCATGCTCAGTTTGGTGTGTATTGCTAGAGATGTTGTTTTCCTCTTGGGAGAGTGCATGTGATCAGTACAGGGCCAATGAGCACTGCCCAGACAAAGGTCAAAGGTTCCCCCTCCTAGAGCAAAATGAAAACTCCTCCCACAAGCTTTAACTAGTGCTTTGCTAGATACTGATAGAAGTCACAAGACTGATCTAACTGCTGAAGAGAAAAGGTATTTAGCAGTTTATTTTCACTAAAATAATTGCACTTCCATGTTCTGTGTACTGTGGGAGACCAGATATAGTGAATGCAGGGGCCTGGGTTTAGTAACACTGTAACTGAACAAATTGAAGCTAAAAGCTAATTGGCTACTATGCAGAGCTGCTCCAGATTCTGTTTACAGAATACACTGAGTTACATTATTACCCAATGTATTCTGTACTGTTATCTCTTCTGCAGAAATAGATATTATCTTTTTGTAGTAGATATTTTTATATTTTTATTAAAATATTTTAGAGGTTATAGGTAATCTGATATATTTTATTACTATACAGTATATTTAATATTTGTTTTACAAGTAAACATTTAACAAATGACTCTCTATATGTCTCTTTATTTAGTCTTTGTTTATTTAGTCTCTGGTATCAGTATCAGTGCTACCAAACATTTACACGGGTATTGCTACAAATTCTCCAATAGATGAAACTGATACCTTCAGGCTCTGTTCTTTCAACTGTCAGTAGGATTCCCCCTCTGACAGATGACATGTAATTAAAAAAAAAAGCCAGCATACACAAAAAAAAATCAGTTGTTAAGGAGCAGGGCATATACATAATTAACAACCGATGACAAAAAAAAAACTGTAAATAAAAAAACAAGCAAAAAAAAATGTCCCAGCAATTGGAGCTGTCAAAAAAAGCAGCCTGACAATGTTTATTAACAACATTGCTCAGTTGCTAAAACAGAGATAAAAAGAAACATTGTTTCATTTTGTATCTTTCTGTTTATTCATCTACAGATCAAATGGATGAACTTCCATCTACAGATGAAGTTAGTTAAAAGCAACCTGTCAAGTAAAAAAAAAATGTGCAATGCTTTAAAGGCGCCTAAGAAAAAAACAATAAATGTATATTTTTTACATGAAAAAACTGCATTTTTTTTGTTTTTAAAGGTGAACTGATCCTTTAAAAAACATTATAGCATAGTCTGAATAAAATGTGTTCAGATATTTTGCAAACTTTTATACACTGGTACATTCTAAGCAGAGCAGGGGATACTGAATGCTGCTGAAAGTATGTGTATCTCTAGCCAAAACATTCTGTTTCATTGTGGGAAGAGTAGGGGATGCAAGGAACCCCTGTCACTTTTTTTTGCTGTTTATTGCCAGTTTTAGATCTTTCCCCAATCAAATCTCTTTTATATGGGTCATAATGGCAACAAAACATTTTTAATAGTAGTGTAAAGGTAGGTTAGTTTGTATGTGTGCACCCACTGGAGATTTCCTTTCACTTTCTGCTGCCATAGCAATGTTGCAGCTAGTACAGGGGAAAACAAGATATAGACAGCAAATTAAAAAAAAACTGACAATGGTAATACCTGTTCCTACCAGGGGAGGACTGACAACTCATGGGGCCCCCGGGCAATAGGGGATCAGGGGGCCCCTGTGTCCTTGCCCAAACTCAAAAAAGCCTATGAAAAAGGTACCAGGGGCATCCCATGGGGCCCCCTACTGACCCTGGGCCCTCGGGCAGTGCCCGAGTTTCCAAATGGTCAGTCTGCCCCTGGTTCCTACTCAATTAAGAAAAAAACTAGCAAAGCTGAAATACCCCTGACATAACTTAAAAAAGCATTTAGGTCATATTTGTTTTTGTATGTATTTTGATAAGATTTAACGTTGCAGTATTCTTTTCTGCTTGGGAATCCTCTAACATGGTTATGTAATACTCTAGCTGGGAGTCCCCATGTCAAGTCAAACATCATCACTGGGAGTATTAAAAGTATATGGAGAGCAATTACAAGTCCTGCATTTGATTTTCAAGGTGACCCAGCACAACAGGGTGGAGCAATAATAGTAGGTCCAGGTATGTAAAGAGAAAAAAAATTGTCAAGTATGTAGTTACATTAAATCTATTCATTGTTTATTATTTGTATTCCACTTGTTGCTTTGCAGTGTGCTGACTCTGGTTCTAAGTAGATATTATCAAATACCAATAGCGTTCTGTGCATACTTCTTGTGCTATCTCAAGGAGTCCTCCTCCCAGTTCCCATCTTGGACTGCTGTTGACACAGGCTACCCATAGGAATGAATAGGGTCATGGTAGACGAGTATGCAAATATGTTCACAGCAGGTTTCCTACTGAGCATGTGCATACTTTGTGAATGGTTCCGCAGTCTTCTGGGACCTGTGTATGTCCCAGAAGGCTGCAGGTTTGAAGGAGGGGAAGAATTACACCACAGATCACCATGGCGATCTGACCCAGAAGTGGGAGCAGATGCCTTTCAAAACCAGGTACCTGCTCCCCTCAAAAAAGTGCCAAATGTGTCAGTGAAGAGGGGGATGATGCAAACAAGCAGCATTTTCACTTTTGGGTGAAGTTCTGCTTTAATGCTGGGTCCCTACACTTGACACTATGCACCACAAAGAGTTTACCTTCCACCACTTCCCCACCTTCCAGATCCATCAGTGGAACAAGTTCAACATTGTAGCATTCCATCATTTATTTGTAACTTAGTTGTGAAGTAAGTTCTCACATCTCACCACCTAACTTCTGGAAGTTCCCAGCTTAAAGGACCACTATACCATTAGCTGAAATTTTGCAGATTTATGCAAACCAGCAGACCACTCCTCACAGTACATTACTAAAGAGGAGCTTCAGTACCCCCCTTCCCCCCCAGAAAAAATAAGTCAGCAACTGCAAATACTGTAGCTGCTGACTTTTAATAAAAGGTCACTGGGGATACAGGGATTCAGGGATCCAGTGCCATCTTCCCCCCCAGCCAGTTCTTCACCAGTCTTTGGGTCCCCGGTGCAGGCTGTGACTCCTTGCGGCTTCCCACTGTGTACGTGAAAGCCATGCTGCACTTTGTGAATGGTCTCACAGCCTTCTGGGACCTGTGACATGTCCTGAATGGCTTTGGGCAAAAATGAGGGGGGAAAGTACCACTCGGATTATCTAGGTGATCTGGACAGAAGTGGGAGCTGGTAACTGTCAAAACCAGGTAGCTGCTTCACCCCCCCAAAAAAAATATAAGCATCATCTCTTTTGGATGAAGGTCCGCTTTAACTAGAGCTGCATAGTACCAGGAAAGGCAGAGGAAATCCAAGCACTCTAGCAGACTTGGAGCAGGTTCATTACACACCGCAAGCAGCTAGTTTGAAGGGGCTCTGGATACAGAGACCACCTCCTCTCTGATCTGCATTATGAAATGTTTAAAAATTATATTTGTTCACAACTATTTGTGTTTTGTTGCAGGTAACAAGGTCCATTTCCTGCACCGTGACATGAACAGATATGATCATGTTCCCATTAGTTCTCTTCTTAGGTATGCAGGAGTAGAAACAATTATTTTTGGTAATCAACGACCGATATTAGAAGTTTGAAGTACACAAATTGACATGATTCCACGACAATCCAGAAGCTATATTTTGCCTATAATACTATTTTATTTCTTGTTTACATGTTTACCCAGCTACTTTTGACATTTTTATATAAAATGATTGTTTTGTACAGTTGTATTCTTTGTTCTTTTTTTTTGGTATTAATGAAATAAATGCGATGGGCTGCACATGCAGAAGCACAAATGAATCAAGAGCATCACAAAGCCAAGGTATAGACTCGAGAGAGAGACATCATTTCGCCCCTGCACAAATTAGGCACCAGTTCACAAAAAGGATATCAGAGAACTAAAGGAAGTGCAGAGAAGGGCTAGACCAGTTGCCTTTATTAAAAGCCTTTGTTAAAAGCCTTGCCTAATAACATGTTGACTAATACCTTTTCATTTATCCATAAAAGCCTTCTCTGGACATCCCTCTGATTGCTATTTTTTTTCTTTTATAATTAGGGCTTGATTTTCTCTGACTCTTCCACTGTAGGTATGTTGTGCCTATATGTCATTTCTGTGCCCAATGAGAGTACACAAACACACTGTCATTAAAGCGAAGGCAAACATGAAGATAGGGTCTAGCTTTGGGGTCAAGGCTTGACCATAAGGTCTACTGTAGGAAGGTGAACCCTTATTAACTTATAAGTGAAACCAAGATTAGAGGAGTGCACAAAAATGGAAATTCTTGACAGATGAAGTTTATAATGTCAGGTTCATGGCTCTTTAAAAATATGCCATGGTAATAATGAAGCAGTATGGTGACACACAAGACTATAATGAGCCTAAAAATTCAAATATTCTAAAAGCTTAAAGTGTAAATTCACCTTCACGAAGATTTTCCAACATATTTCCTATGCAATTCTATATCAAATGAATAGTTGATATTAGACATGTGGGATTAATTTTGTTACCAATGGAAATACTGATTTTTGTTTTTCTCGGATACCGTATTTTCTGGCGTATAAGACGACTCCCTACTTTTCCTGTTAAAATATAGGGTTTGAGCTATACTCGCCATATAAGACTACCCCTCTTCCAACACACACACAAATAAAAATGAAAAAACATCAGATTTGATTTCAATATGGTATGCTATTTCAGTATGGTATTCCAATGATAGGGTGCTATTCCTCCCACTGACACCAATGATGGGGCACGATTCCTCGCTCTGACACCAATGATGGGGCACTACTCCTCCCACTGACACCAATGATGGGGCACTATTTCATCCACTGACACCAATGATGGGGCACTATACCTCCCACTGATACCAATGATGGGACACTATTCCTCCCACTGACACCAATGATGGTGCCCCATCATTAGTGTCAGTGTGTGAGGAATAGTGTCCCATCATTAGTGTCAGTGGGAGGAATAGTGCCCCATCATTAGTCAGTGGGAGGAATAGTGCCCCATCATTGGTGTCAGTGGGAAGAATCGTGCCCCATCATTGGTGTCAGTGGGAGGAATAGTGTCCCATCATTGGTGTCAGTGGGAGGAATAGTGCTCCATCATTGGTGTCAGTGGGAGGAATAGCGCCCCATCATTGGTATCAGTGGAAGGAATAGTGCCCCATCGTTGGTATCAGTGGCGGGAAAAGTGCCCCATCATTGGTATCAGTGGGGAGAATAGTGCCCCATCATTGGTGTCAGTGGGGGGGGGGAATAGTGCCCCATCGTTGGTGTCAGTGGGGAGGAGGAATAGTGCCCCATCGTTGGTGTCAGTGGGGGAGGAACAGTGCCTCATCGTTGGTGTCAGTGTGGAGGAGGAATAGTGCCTCATCGTTGGTGTCAGTGGGGGGGGGGAGGAATAGTGCCTCATTGTTGGTGTCAGTGGGGGGAGGAATAGTGCCTCATGGTTGGTATGAGTGGGGGGAGGAATAGTGCCTCATCATTGGTGTCATTGGGGAGGAAGAATAGTGCCCCATCGTTGGTGTCAGTGGGGGAGGAATAGTGCCCCATCGTTGGTGTCAGTGGGGGAGGAACAGTGCCTCATTGTTGGTGTCAGTGGGGGAGGAACAGTGCCCCATCGTTAGTGTCAGTGGGGGAGAGGAATAGTGCCAAGAGTGTCACAGCATGGTGCTGCTGCACACTTACTGGCCGCTCCCTCACTCAATTTTCGCGGGGCCGCTCGGCTCCGCCTCCTCGCCGGTGATTGGTCGCCTGTGTGCCTTTCCAGTGCTGGCGCCCAATCACCGGTGAGGAGGCGGAGCCGAGCGGCCGAACTGAAAGAAGGAGCAGCCGCGCTTCCTGGACCGGATCGTCGTGGGACCGGGACCAGAGCGGCAAAAGTGCCGCCCTGACACCGGCTCGCCGTATACCGGGGTATAAAGACGACCCCCGACTTTTCAGAAGATTTTCATGGGTTAAAAAGTCGTCTTATACGCCGGCAAATACGGTATTTGGATGTATCTGAATCTCTGAATCACAATAGTAATGAATTCTAAATAAATTATAACAAAAACAACAAATTAATTCATATTCATTTGTTTTGTTACTTCAAATGTTTTTTTTTAAGTTCAATAATGTGTCACTGTCTGTATTATGATTGGCCAAAGTCACAAGCAAGTTGCATCGAAATCACAAGCAAGTGGCAAGTCATCCAAGTCCCACTGAATTCGCAAGCAAGTTGTAATGCAAAGTAGCACTGAAAACATAAGGAATGAATCCAAATCTTGTGAAATAACTTCCGAAAATACAAATCAATTTGGGACAACGAATATCAGAAATGAATCTGAATATTCTAAATAAATTGCGAAAATTAATAATTCTAACATAACGAATATAATGAAACAAAATGATTGACTTAATGAATTAAACCGAAACAAATTGTTTTTCATCATGCACATCTCTAGTTGATATTAGTACTCCTCCTGTTGTATATGGTGTATGTTCTCACATTACAGATGCAGTTTGGGGGGGCCTCTCCAAAAAAAAATTTCCCATTCCTCCCTCCTTCCTGCCATTTGCAGGACAGGCTGAACATCACTATAATGCCCCACCAGTAGGTGCTCTGAGCTGATCAAAATGTGAACATGTGCTGTGCTGCCTTCCTGCTCCAGCTGAGTTTAGTAGCAGCCTCTTTTGAGCTGATCAAACTGTGCGCATGCGCTTTCCTTCTTGAGTAGAGCTCAGTGCTTTTTCTGGAGAGGCCCCTCAACAGCTGCATGAAGATATGCACATTTACAACTGGAGGAGTGGTGCCATGTACCTTTCTTTGGATATAAAATTGCATAGGGGCATTTTTTTGCTTCCTGAAGGCGAACCTACATTTAAATCACTGGAAGAATCATATTCTGCTTTTGTTTCCCTTATCCATCCCTCTTCCTAGCATGTGTTTACTGCTTTAAGTGTATCTACACCCAAAAACAAAATTGGTATAAGTTGCAGCTTACCAGTTCTTAGATGCACTGGCTGTATCAGTTTTCTTTTTTCAGGCTTGTGAAGGATCGCATAAGAGAAGAAAGCCAGCAGCAATGAGTAATGAACAACTAACCCATGCAGTGTGTGTGGTGGGGATGGATGCTGTTCTACTGTATGAGTAAATGTAAAGCAGTAGTAAAGTCCACGCAGGAGTAATATTATTGGGGCTTGGCCATTCAAGCTGCTACAGCCCACGAACCTGGTAGGAAGACCTGGTGAAGAGGAAAGCCCTGTCAGTGGGGACAGTGCACTGCTGAAAGGCTTCATTCTAAGGTAAGTATTTCAAAATGTGCTAGTATGTGATGCATTCTAGCACATTATTCAATTGCCTTAGGGGATTTTTTTTTTTTTTTTAAGCCGCTTTAAGGCCCCGTTCACATCTTGTGTACCAAGAACCAGTGTTTTTTTAATTCAATCTTCATTTCTGTGCATAGGGCAACATTTTTAATTCAGTGGGCTGCCCTATGCACGGCTGTCTTCCAAAAGAAGACTTATTGGCCAACAAGCTTTGCATTATTTTAAAGGTGCATTTTGTTATGATTTCCATGCAAATCAAGCTGTGTTTGGGGTGCTATTAAAAAGCACTGGCACCCAAACCTGCATCGTGCAATTTTACAGCAATTGTGAATCGCAGTGCCTTCGATTCCAAATCACCAAGTGTGAACTGGGCCTAAAAGCAATCTGGAGATGGGCTTCAGACAACACAGACATATAAACTGGATTTGTGAGAAAGAATAAAAAAGAAGAAGGGTTTGGCCGCACACTAGAGGAATGATGAAAAAGTACAGATAGTTTATTAATCCATAAAAGGACACAAACAGCACCAGGACAATGCTTGGCTGTTAACGCGTTTCACACAATTATGTGCTTGGCTACGTGCATATGACTAATCACGTGATCGTGTGAAACGCATTAACAGCCAAGCATTGTCCAGGTGCTATTTGTGTCCTTTTATGGATTAATAAACTATCTGTTTCTGAACTTTTTTCATCATTCCTCCGGTGTGTGGCCAAACCCTTCTTCTTTTTCACGTGTACATGGTGGCGAGCCATGGTCTGCACCTGCTTTGGTTTGATGTTGATTGTTTTACCTGAGCGGTATTTCCTCTCTTCATTAGAAAGAATAAATGTATGATCTCCTATATTAAATGTCTGTTTCTTTAGTCTATGTGTGCTGTCAGTGTTGTAAAATGTTGTAAAATGACAGATGACTTTTATAAAAATTGCTCTAGAAATTATTCATAGTTTGCAAATAATGGCTGCACTAGTAATCAAGATAAGTGCAAGTGCTTTGAAGGGAGATATTCGGCTTAATTCATATATAGCTGCTTTGCAGACTTAAAACTCCTATTTTTAATCAGTTTCACTAGATCAGTTGGTAACAACCAGAGACTCTCAGTAAGCTTTGACATTGCTCATGACAGAAAATCACAAGAAACTATAATCCAGGCTAAGAACACTGCACTTGCCAGAAAATAATTAGAACATGATTAGAAAAGAGATTGGACCACCATTTTTAAACTGTCTGCCAAGTAACCTAGGCAAGTTCCAAACATCCCTCCTAACTTTAGACAATG